TGTGTGTGTGTGTGTGTGTGTGTGTGTCTTTCTCTGTCTCTCTCTCTCCCATTGTCCTTGAGTGGGTTCCAGCACATAGCTGACCCTCCTATGGAAGAGTTTTTGGAACGGTGCCTTCAGAGAAGCATGGACTTTTGAGTTAGCACCACAACTCTCTACATATTATGCCACCATTACATAAATGCAATCAAAGATGTTCAAAAGCCTGGCTTCCCCCTAGACCACCAGAGGAGCCTTTTTACATCCTTATAATCCCATGGAAGAAGCCCTGGTCGTACGGTCAATTAGGAGAAAGATGAAACTGTTTGATTTGGTAAAGATTACAAGCTTGGAAACCCTATAGGGCAGTTCTACTTCATCTTGTAGGGTCACTATGAAGTGGAATCTACTGAACAGCAATAAGTTAACTCGGTCAGAGCCAAACACTAGCCACCACTATCTACCAGAGCCAGTGGGTCGGCCCTACAACTGCTGTGCAAAAGCACATCACTCATTCAGTTCTGCTCACTTTCAATCGGTGACACACAGAGGCCCTAGGAGTTGGAACAGACTTGGTAGCACATGACAACAATCTGAACTACAGAGTTATTTTCCTTTTTTTTTTTTAATTGGTTTTGGTTCATTGCAACTAGGTGGAGGGTTTGTTGTTTTGGTTTTTTTTTTTTTATTTCATTTTTTATTTCTTCTCCAAGATCTTTTTAATGTTTTATCCATTATTACTAAGATGTGCTTGATCCAGGCCATGGTCTTCTTAGTTGCTTGCTATGCATCTGAGAGGTGGACAATGACTAAGGATGACAGAGAAAGATCAATGCCTTTGACTTCTAGTGTTGGAGAAGAGTACTAACATATGGCAGACTACCAAGAGAATAAATATGTCTGTCCCAGAGAAGGTTAAACCAGTTTGCTCTGTGGAGGCAAGGATTCTGAAGTTCTGTCTCACATATTTGGGACATGTCATCGGGAGGCCAGTCCTTGGAGAAGGACATCATGTTTGGGAGGGTAGAGGGTCAGCAAAGAAGAGGAAGACCCTGAATGAGATACACTGATACAGTGATGGTGACAATGGGGTCAAGTGTGTCAACGATGGTGAAGTTGGCTAAGAATAGGGCAAGAGCCAGAGCCATTGTTCATAGAGTCATCATAAGTCACAGTTGACCAACAACAACAATATCATTTCTACGTATTCAGAGTACCTAAGCTCTAAATACACCTAAAGTATAAACACATCATGTAATCTTGATCAGAAGTCAATTCTTAAAAATCTTTTTTTCACTTACTTTAAAAACAATATACGCACATGGTAAAATAGTCTAATCAAGAGATATTGTTAAGGGGGAGCTCTGGTGGCCTAGTGGCAAGGAGCTGCAACTACAATCCCAGAGGCACACGGTTCGAATCCACCAGATGCTCTGCTGGGAAAAGGAGGGACAATCTCCTCCTGTACCAGTCAGATCTGATTTGACGGTACACTCACACAAAAATTTTAAAAAAGAGAGAGAGATATTGTTAGGTGTCATCAAGTTGACCCTAAATCATAGTGATCCTACGTGCAACACATCAAAATTTTGCCCTATGATATGCCATGTTCACAATCTCCTCTGTGCTTAAGCCTATCATTGTAGCCACTCTGTAACACATCTTGTTAAGAGTCTTCCTCTCCTTCATCACCTCTCTATCCTTCCAAATATGATGTCTCCTCCCAAGGACTGGCCCCTCCTGAAAACAGGTTCAAATATGTAAGACAAAATTCTCCCACTGTCAGCATATAAGAACTGACTAAAAGGTTGTGTATCACATGGAAGGACACTTCCTGTCTTTTGCCCACAGATCAGCTAGTGGATTCATACCACCAGAGAGGCTTGACTTTTGGGTTAGCAAAGTTACACCCTACGGACTATGCCATCAGAGCTCCCTATGTGAGACAAAGTCTCACAATTTTTGCTTCAAAGAAGCACTCTGGTTGTGCTTCTTCCAATACAAATTGGTTGTTCTTTTGGCAATCCATGCTATACTTAATACTCTTCACCAACATTGCAATTCAAAGGCTTCAGGGTTGGGGTGTTTGGGTTTTTTTCCCCCCCATCTTCCTTATTCATTGTCACTTTCCCATGTATTTGAGGTCATTTGAAAAGACCAGGAACACATTAGTCTTATAGAGATATTGTTGGGAATTGTCAAGTCAGAACTGACCCATAACTGACCCTCCAGCAGGTTTACAGTGGGAATTAATCACATGGGTGAAGATTGCCCATATTTCTCCCATGGAGCAACTGGTGGCCTTGAACCACGTGCCTCAGGGATTACAGCACAGCTTCTTGCCACTTGGCCACCGGAGCTCCCTATATAGAGGTATTATTGTTGTTGATTGCCTTTGAGTTGAGCACGACTCATAGAGATCTTATGAACAAAAATCCTGAAGCCTTTCTATAACTACCAACATTTATCAAAGTTCATAGAGTTTCCAGAGGCATGTTGTTTAGGAAGTGGATGTCATATAGAGGACATAATTGTAGTTTTACATATTTCTGTCTTTTTCTGTTCCCAGAAGATGATGAATAAACAACAACTTCTCTACATTGCAATTTTGATCTAGTTGACTCAAACCCATGCAGAATTCATGGTATTATGGCAGCGCTGTGCTCCATAGGATTTACAGTGTCAGATTTTTTGGAAGTAGATCACCAAGCCTTCCTTCTATGGTGCCTTTGGGTATTCAACCTCAAATCTCTTGGGTAGCAACTGCACATATTAACTATTTGTACCACCCAGAACTCCAAATCACTAGTTATCAGTTTTTATATTATAGCACATTTGTGGGTATTCTCTATGCAATTATACTTTCAAAATAACCATTGACTTTAGTCCCTCTCCCCTAGCCCAACAACCTTTCTTCTTTCTTACAAGTTTAAATATTTCAGTTTAAAAAAAAAATTTCAGTTTTACTTTCTGTCATTTTGATCATGATGCTTCTCTCCCCTCATTTTCTACTACTTTCTGATCAATCTCCAGTTAAATGCAAATCTCTGAAGTAATCTTATCATCCAAATATCTTCTCCCTGGTGACTAGAAGGAACCCTGGTGGCCTAGTAGGCAAAGAATTATGCTGCCAACCAAAGGTCAGCAAATCAAATTTTCCAGCTCCTCTGGAGGAGAAAGATAGTCAATATCTTCCCACATGATTTATAGCCCCTGAAAACCTACTGGAAGGTCAGAGATGAGTCCAACTTGATGGCAATGAATTGGGTAGGTGGGTAGGTAGGTAGGTAAGTAACTCAACAAAAAGTTCTAAGAAATCTTCCCTGATTAAATACATTCGGCTTCCATTCCAAATACTCTTTATACCTATCATATGTATCTGTCATCATATGGTGTCATGATTTAACAGTAATTAGTTTCTATAAAATGTATGTTTACTGATTTGAATTCATATTCTCAAAAACATGCCAATGTTAGGATCTCAGCTATTTCTTAGGGAAAGATCTGAGGCTAGGCAGATTCACATTTGAATCCTAGTTTCATTATCGTGTGATTCCGGGAAATAACTTGGTTTTTTATAAGTTTTATTTATCTGATAATTATACCTAATGTTTAAATTATTTTGAGAGCTAAATGAAAGCATGTACACATAAAAGTCTAGCTTTGTGATTGTTCTTGTTATTATGTGCTATCAAGTCAGAACCAATCAGAGCTGACCCTCTAGGGTGTATTCAGAGGCAATATATCGCATGGGAGAATATTGTAGATCTTTCTCCAGCAAGCAGCTAATGGATTTGAACAGCCTGCCTGTGGGTTGGCAGTACACACTCCTTACCACTAAACTGCCAAAGCTCCCATCAAGTCTTGTAGCGTGACTACCATATAGTTGTTTATCAACAAATATAGTTTCTCCATATCTACCTTCTGTCTTTTTCTTGAGCTTAATACTATAAGACTTTTAAGTTTTAGGGCCAAGAACTGCTTTCAACTAAACTCATCTTCAGAGAGCTCCTACATAATAGAGATTCAGATCTATGCTGAAGCTATACAAACTCATTTGCTTACCACCTACTTAGTTAGCACTATGACAAAGGCTGCTGAGCCAAACACAGGATCAACACTTCTATGAGGCTCGTATTCTAACTACAGACTGGATTCCAGAAAAAGTTACTCTACCAAATAGAGGAGTGTACGGACAGAGACTATAATTAAGTTAACTACCTACCCCAACTCACCTGCCAGAACCAAGTTCCTTGAAGCATGATTAAGCTTGTCATTAAAAGTTCCAAAAGTATGTTGTTCCTAAATAAATTTATGAAGATAATTAGGCCTGTTGTAATGATGGCCAGGAACAGCAGCTGGTGCACATAGGTGTCCAGCATGTCTCGGCCATGAGTGTGATTGAAGAAAATAAAACCTGAGAAAAGAAAAAGGAAAACCAATTTGTCATTTTCAGTGAAACTAAGGAACATCTCTTTCTCTTTTACGGTGCTATTCACTCAATTATCTGTCTCTTTCTCTGTCTCTGTCTCTCTCTCTCTCTCTGTATGTTTATGTGTGTACCTTTTTTATTCTCTCTTATTGACTCTCTCTCCTTCTCTCTATCTCTCTCCCTCCCTCCCTCTCTCTCACTGTGTGTATATGTGTCTCTTTTTTATTCTCTCTTATTGTCTCTCTCTCATTTGCTCTCCTTCTCTCTCTCTCCCTCCTTCACTCCCTCCCTCCTCCCCTTCTCACTTTCTCTCTCACTGTCTCGTTCAATTCATTAATTTTCATTCTCTTTCTCTAATACTTACCCTCAATTAAAAAGGCACTTGACAACATTAACTTGGTTAAGGAAACAGGAAATATACGACTGGTGTAACATATGATGTTTGTCACACCAAACAGCCCAAAGAAGAAATACATAGTGCAATGCTGCCAGCCCAAGAGCTGATTCCACTGGCCTTCTTTATAGTTGTATAAGGTCAGGTAAGGCCCTCCAGTGATAAACTGTTCCCCAGTCATACCTGTGGAAGAACAAATCACAATTTTAACAGCACTCTTCATAACTTTACCTAGAATGTAGAATATGTAGAACAATTAGCCCACTTAATCTGTTCTCATTGTGTATCATTTGAGTTGGAATGGACCAATTTTCTAATCTAGTATCCTCTTGTTTACTCTGATTTCTCTCTTGTCATTACTCATGTCTGTTGAATTGGAACTGACTCAGCTGACCATCAGTGGGGTTGTCAGAGGCTGTAAATCAAACTGGAGGAGATTGCCTATCTTCCTCCCACAGAGAAGCTGGTGGATTTGAACTACTTGTCTTTGGGTTGGTGGTACAGCAAATATCTAATAGCTGAACACTGGTGCTTTAGGGTTTTTTTGTTTTTTATTTTGTCTTGTTAATGTTCTGTGTTAATTAAAAGGTTATGAAATATCTTTAAAGCTGATAATCTTAGTTCTGTTGCATATTTGATTGTAGTAACTGAGATAAATCATGAATATTTGAGTGTGAGATTACAAGACTAGTATTTGTAGAGGTTGATTACTTCTTTCTTAGACATTAGATCTTTGGGCAGTCACTAGGAAAAAGAGATTGTATTTGGCGCAGAATAAAAATGCAAAGTGTTTCAATAAGCATTTCCTCCATAAGTTTAGCTGAAAATACTCAAATGAATAGAGCATATGGTCTAGTTAGTTATACAACAATTAAACTTTTTGGAGATACTGCTTCATTTGTTAATCTGTAAGGTTTGGCAACAAATCTTTCCTGCTTGGAAATGGCCATCTGTGTAATTTGAAAGCCATGAGAGAAGACGTACATCAATGAGTAAAGTTTAAATCTAACGAGGAAAGGGAAATCTGTACATTTTATAAAAGAGAAATTACAGTGACACTCTAAGAACAAAGAAAATTTTTATAGTATCTTCATGGTCAATGGAAAGGTCTTAGAAGTCACCCAGCTTGATTTTGCTCTCCAATTCAGGGATCAAGAGAAAATAGGTGAGTACATTATATAAAAGGCTTTATTGGTTTTGGTCTTCTTTACAAGCTATCAGCAATGATCCATTATCCTATTAAGGCTTCAGCATTTTAGGATCACTTTGGAAAATGGTTTCTGGTAGAATCTACTTTTTCAGGCATCAGAAAATGGATATCGAATATGTTAAAAGTTCCAAACAATTTGCTAAAGAAAAATCACCTTAACTCACTAGGCACGGTAGTTACTAATCAAGGAACATGTCTTTACATAAACATGAAGTATCATATTGCTAAAAAACCTATATAACTATATGTTTTCATTAGTTTATGTGTTAAATATCTGAATAGAATATTCATTTGAGCAAGCTCTTGATTTTTACATTAATTTTTTTTAATATTATCAAATAGCTACAAGGAGAAAATGGAATATAAACAATTGTTCACTCACCAACTAAAGCCATGCCAATTATGAGGATTCCTTCCAAAATCTCTATTTGATGGAATAATGTTTTGGAGCCAAGATAGCAAGTTCGCTTGTACTTTTTACAGGCATACTTCAAAGAGTATTTTGAACTCCACCACAGGCTCATGAAACAGAAGAAGCCTCCAGGGAGGGCATGACCTTTGAAACTCCCCATCTTGACCTACTAAGACAAAAACACACACAAAATGACAGCATTTCATTTTTAGAACCTGGCCAATACATTGCATGTTTCTATAAAGAGCACTGTCTTCAGATGACTTGGGGTATAATACCATTTTCAAAGAATCAAATGTTACTTCCAGTAGTAACAGAACCCCTTGAAATATCAACAAAACCACTAAGATGAAAAATTCTTATGTTTTCTTATATTTGTTGAGCACATGTGGTACTATCAATAGTTTTATGTAAAATCATCTAACCTTTACAATACATTCATAAATGTAAGATTATTAAACTATTTTCAATTGAGGAAGTTAAATTTATTTTTAAAAAATCTCACAACTATTAAATAAAAGTGTCAGTCTACTTCATCATTACATTGCACATTAAGCACACTTAAATAGCTAAAGCAAATGGAAGAAATGATGACATTAAAGAGTTGAAAAGGGAAGCTCATAAAGACAAAGAAATCTGCCATAATGAAATGTGCTAAGACTTAGAAAGGCAGAAAATACTGTTACAGGGGTGAGATGGTATCTCATTGTGGTTTTGATTTGCATCTTTCTTATTGCCAGTGGTTTGGAGCATTTCTTCACGTGTCTGTTGGACATTCAAAATATCTTTTTTCTGTGAAAATTCTTTCTATGTCTTTTGCCCATTTTGTAATTGGGTTAGCAGTCTTTTTCAGAGGCCCAGTATTGTATAAACGTTCATTATGAGACTCTTGTCTGAGATGGTATTCCCAAATATTTGTTCTCAGTTGGTAAGATTTCTTTTCACCCTGTTGGGAAAAGTTTTTGAAATGCAAAGGGATTTAATCGTTAGAAGGACCCATTTATCAATTTTTTTTTTCCATTTATCAATTTTTATCCTCTTCAGATTGTGTATTTCTGGATGTATTTTACAGTCTCTTTATACCATAGACTAGGACTTCTAAGCTTGATCTCAGTTTGTCTCTTATGAACTTTATGGTTTTGGGCTTTACTCCCAGGTCTCTGATCCATGTTGAGTTGATTTTTGTGTATGGTGTGAGATGTGGATCCTGTTTCAGCTTTCTGCAGGTGGCAATCCAGTTATGCCAGCACCATTTGTTGAAGAGGCTGTCATTTTCCCATTTGACGAGTTTTGTTTCCTTGTCAAATATTAGTTGGCCATAGATGGCTGGGTCTATTTCTGGGTTCTCCATTCTGTTCTATTGGTCTATGTGACGATCACTGTACCAGTACCATGCTGTTTTGGTTACTATGTCTGTGTAATGAGATTTTAGGCCAGGGAGTGCTATGCCTCCCACTTCATTTCTGTTTTTCAGAAGTGTTTTACTT